ATATGATGACATTTGGAGGGAGAGTCTTTGAGAAATAATTAGGTTAAAATGAAGTCAGGAGAATGTAACCTCATGATAGGATTATAAGAAAAGACACTGATGAGTTTGTTCTTTCTAAAAGTGATTTCATAGGAAGAGAGTTCTCACCAGCAGGATATAGCAACAACTTGATCTTGGGCTTCTGAAACTCCAGAACTATGAGAAAAAATATTTCTATTTAAGTCATCAGTCTGTGGCATTTTATTATCACAGCCCAAGCAGTGATATTTTTATATTTCATTGAATATTTCACTGAAATAGTCAGCAATATTTCATTGAACCTTTTCTTGAATGTTTCCTAAACATACATATGCACATAAATAAATTTCCCATTTAGTAAGAAATTGAGGAATGGTAAACTATCTCAACATTACCCGGAACTATTGCGCTACATGGCAGAACCTCTACAAACACACAAAGCACAGTAAAAGTCACCTACTAGGGTAAGGTTAATTAACACTATTCTTGGAAATGTCAAGTGATCAGCAGGAACAGTATGAAATTGGGGTCACTGGGAGTTCCTCCTGCATCCAAAATGGTACTGTGTCCTATAATACTGTTCACAACAATCTGTGACAGCCTATAATGTCTCCAAAATATTTACACTGAAAGCTTAATTCAAGACAACCTTTCCTTTACTTGAAGCACATCTTATGGGCCAGACACTGTATAGAGATTTACATGAATGATTTCACTTAGTAAGTCAAGATACATTTTTATTACAAACTCTAGCATATATTTTATCCAATTTAATCTTACAGAGGACAAATGGGTCACACAGATAAGGGAGGGTCTGAACTTGGGCACTCTGATTCCAGATTTATCTGACCTTGCACAGAGGCCAAGAATTAACAAGAAGGAATAATAGTATGAGTCACTCAAGGAGGGCACAAGACTTGGGAACTTAGCCATCTTGCTGAGCCCAATAGAAAGAATATGATTTCATGTCTATGATGGCACTGGAGAAGCATTTCCACTTAATAATGGTATTAATAAACCCCACTGGAGATCTGAGTTATTTTCTAAGTCAACATGATCACAAGTAAAGCATGATAGGCAGAGACATGAAGAAACGCATCTTGGGCTGAATAGGACTCCTGAGGTCAGGGTCAATTCCAATACTATATGGAATAGAAAATACCAGCTTCAGCCATCCATAACAGCTTCCCCAGTCTGGTCTTGGGACTATGTTTACTTCATTTATACTACATCCCTGAAGAACAATAGTATTGTCACTGTCAACAATAAGAAAACAGCAAATGCTATAATTTAGCAAGTAAACGCAGAATAATATTAAGTAAACTTAGAAATTCCGTTGCCAGTAAAGAAATAATACATGCTTCACATTCTTGTACTTATTTCCTCTCCACCCACTCTTGCTTACACACGAATATACTTAACATGACAAACATTCATATGATGCTGTCAAGTGAGCTGATACAGCTCCTCAAAGAACATACTTGTGGAAGATGAATGTCCCTGACAATGACACAGCTGGTTGAAGAAGTATTGTTTCATATAGAGTCAAAATGTAAATGGTTATTCCTCCAGGAAAGCTCTGAGATAGTGTATTAATGAAGGTGACTTTAACTTTTTGGTTTTGAAGGAATATGCTGAGCATACTCAACTCTGGACAATACCTGACTTATTTTTGAGGCACGTGCCCCAAATAAACCTAAATTCCAGGAGATTAAGGACCTGACAGTCATTTTATTTTTATTTTTTTTTTGAGCTATAGCACAGCGGGTAGGGCGTTCACCTTACAAGCGGCCAACATGGCCGACCCGAGTTCGATTCCTCCACCCCTCTCGGAGAGTCCGGCAAGCTACCAAGAGTATCCGATATGCCAGACACAGTAACAACAAAGTCTCCAATGGAGACGTTACTGGGCCCACTCGAGCAAATCAACGATCAACGGGAGGGCCTTTACCTTTACCTATTTTTTTTTAAAAAATGTTAGAACATGTAATTACAATGGGTCTCATTCACCTGACCCTGAACGCTTCAACAACATGGCAGCACTGAGAAGGATAAGAAAGGAGAGGCCGATAAAATCTCAAGGCCGAACTAGGCTGCTACAACAAAGGAAGACAAAAATGATCGTCTGTACTTTCAATGCATGGACGCTAGCATCAGATGCATCCATCGAGGACCTGATGGTACAAGCTCGAAAGATCAAGTACGACATCATTGGTCTGACGGAGACAAGAAGACACCAATCTCATCATGCCGTTTTTGACACTGGAGAAGAATTGTTCCTCGGAACATGTGATAAAAGAGGTGTTGGTGGCGTCGGTGTCCTTGTCAACACAAACTTGGCCATGAGTATTGATTCATTCGAATGCCTAACAACCGGAATCGGACATTTACATTTGAATAGATGTGACTCACTGCCGGCAGTTTCTATCTTCATTGTCTACCCACCAACATCTAATTATGATAAAGGAGAAATTGAGAAGTTCTACATGGAGCTGGAGAAGTACTATAAAGAAGACCACACCTTCTACAAGATCATTGTGGGTGATTTTAATGCCAAGATAGGACCGAGAAGATCAGCTGAAGTACTTCACATGGGGACCCATGGCCTAGAATGGAACGAACAGGGTGAGAGACTGTCTGACTTCATCATGTTGACCAAGACCATCCACGGTAACTCACAGTTCCAGAAGGCTGAATCTAAACGTTGAACATGGGAGTCTCCCGGTGGACAATTCCACAACGAAATAGACCATATCATATTCAATCGATGGTTTTGCCTGACCGATGTCGCTGTTGTCCCAAAATTCCGAACGGGATCAGACCACAGTCTCCTTCGTGCAAAATTCTACTTCACAGAGAAGGGAGAAAGGGCTGCAAAGTTTAAAAAGAGAACTCCTAGAACGACCACCAACTGGGAGCTCTTTGGCACTATTGTGGCAACATGGGAAGATGCCATTGTTGACAACATTGACGAGGAATACGATTGACTGGTTCAGCACCTCCATGATTGTGCGAAGAACGCCAAGAGAGAGATAGCCACAAAAAAACTCCTGTTTTCGAAAACTCTTGAGCTTATTCGCCAACGTGGTTTGGCACATGCCTCAGGCAACCGCATGCGAACGTCCGAGCTCCGCAAAGCTGTGCAGAGATGTGATCAAGGAAGACTTCAAAGAGAGAAGAGCAAAAGTGCTGGTAGATGCAGCAGAAGCCGGGAAAAGTATTCGTAACGCCCGCCTGTCCTTCGCCAACTACAAGACCAAGATGACTGCCCTCCGACGTCCTGATGGATCTATCACATCCTCCAGAACGGCAATGGAGAAGATTATCCATGACTTCTACTCAAATCTCTTCGATAGCCATGTCCACTTGCTGACATACCAAATTCCACAGGATGGATATGTCGTTCCCAATGTTCTCCCTTCCAGAATCCGACACGCCATTTTGTCAGTAAAGAAATGAACAGCACCCGGCCCAGACCAGGTCAGACCTGAACACCTGAAGAACCTGCCATCAGTACTCATCAATACACTGGCTTGGTTCTTCACATGCTACCTGTCTGAATGCAAGGTTCCGTCCCAATGGAAAACCAGCAGGACTACTGTTCAAAAAGGGAGACATCCATGACATTGGCAACTATCGCCCGATCTGCCTATTGTCTGTCATCTACAAGTTGTTCACTCGAGTCATCCTAAATAGGATTGGCAGAACACTGGATGAAGGACAACCATGCGAGCAAGCTGGGTTCCGCAAAGGATTCAGCACCATCGACCATATCCACATGATAACCAAGCTCATTAAGGTTTCTTGGGAGTTCAAGATGTTGCTCTGTCTAACGTTCATTGATTTAAAGAAGGCCTTTGATTCTGTTGAGACGGAAGCGGTCATTGAAGCCCTAGACAATCAGGGCATTCAAGCTCAATACATCAAGATCCTCCATGAACTGTATTGCAAATTCACTACCAGGATCTCACCATTCTACAAAGAAGTAATCATTGATGTCAAGAGAGGGGTTCGGCAGGGGGATACCATTTCACCGAAACTCTTCAGTGCCAACCTCGAGAACAACATGTGACAACTGGAATGGGAAGGAATGGGAGTGAAGATAGATGGTCGGTAACTACACCACCTCCGCTTTGCTGATGACATTGTTCTAATAACACCAAACATTATCCAAACAGCACAAATGCTGACCGACTTCGACTGTGAGTGTGGAAAGGTCAGTCTACAGCTGAATCTTACGAAGACAATGTTTATGAGAAACAGCCTCGTTCCTGATGCCCCATTCGCTCTCAACAGAACGACCATCTCCAAATGCAACAGCTATGTGTACCTAGGTCGAGAAGTCAACATGACAAATGACTTGGCACCCAAGCTGCACAGGAAGAAGAGAGCGGCTTGGAACGCCTTCAAGAGCGTAGAAGAAATAGCTAAGAGGACGAAGAACCTCCGGCTCCGGGCACATCTCTTTGATTCCACTGTTCTTCCTGCACTAGCATACGCCTCTGTGACCTGGGCCCTACGCAAAAAGGATGAGAACGATATTTGGGTCTCCCAAAGAGGAATTGAAAGAGCTATGCTTGGACTATCACGTTTCACTCAAATGAGAGAAAGAATCCGGAGTTCCGACATCCGTCGATGATCAAGAATCAGGGACGCTGTCTCATTTGCCAAGTTATCAAAAATCAGATGGGCCGGTCATGTAATGAGATTTAAAGATGACTGCTGGACTAGAGCTGTTACCGACTGGATTCCACGGGATGTCAAAAGACCACGTGTCTGCCCACCTACCAGATGGTCAAACTTCTTCATCAAGATCATGAACAATCGGTTTAAGGCTCTTCATGTTCCTAGAGTGAACAGATGCCATTGGGCTACACTAGCACTCAACAGGGACAAATGGAAATGTTACTGGCGTGCACTTGAGCAAATCGACGATTAACGGGAAGTCAAGTGATCAAGTGATCAAGTAAAAAAATTTTGAAATCTCTCTGTCTGCATCCTCTGGCTCTCTCTTTCAAAGAAGGAGAAGAACAATCATCAATGAGGAAAGGCAGTTGCAAAAGCAACACCTAGAACCAGCTTCACAGTTAGGAGAGGATTCTGTGTCTCCTCCTCATGTTTTCAGGTACTATGCATGATCAGAGAAACTTCTCTGGTAACAAACTATAGAAATGATCCCTGAAAGTATCATCTTTGACTGTCATTTTCTGAGGAAAGAAGACCACGAGTGGACATTGAGTTATTTCCTATAAACAAAGATGGAGGAAGAAGAAGAAGGAGAAGGAGAAGAAGAAGAAGAAGAAGAAGAAGAAGAAGAAGAAGAAGAAGAAGAAGAAGAAGAAGAAGAAGAAGAAGAAGAAGAAGAAGAAGAAGAAGAAGAAGAAGGATGAGGAGGAGGAGGAGGAGGAGGGAGGAAGAGGAGGAGGAGGAAGGAGGAGGAGGAAGGAGGAGGAGAAAGGAGGAGAAAGAGAAGGAGAAAGAGAAGGCAAGAGTGAAGGCAGGAGAGGAGGCAGGGGAGGAAGAGGAGGTGGAGGAGGAATAAGGAAAGGAAGAGGAAAAATAACAAAAACAAGACCAGAAAAAGAAGAATGAAGGAATGAAAGAGATAAGAAAGAAAGAAAGAAAGAAAGAAAGAAAGAAAGAAAGAAAGAAAGAAAGAAAGGAGGAAAGAAAGAAGGAAGGAAAGAAAGAAAGGAAGGAAGGAAGGAAGGAAGGAAGGAAGGAAGGAAGGAAGGAAGGAAGGAGAATACTATACATGAAAGAAAAGTGGCCATAGCTTGTCCCTAATCCATTGATGTGCAGATACTCCCATCAGACAACCTCTCTCAGGAACAGAGATTAAGGGTGAGCAAAAAAAAAAAGACAAATATGCACCACAAGAATGCCATAAAATTTTCTCTTTATACCTACTTGGGAGTCTGGAGAACCCAGAAAAACTTTAATATTTTTTACTTTTCTACCTAAAATTCATTTAATATGTATAATTCACTGCTCTTTGTCAGTCACTGCTTCAGGTACAAAAGATACAAAAGAATAAAACAGAGAGAATCTCTACTTTGTAGTGAAAGACAACACATATTAAACATTTTCATTTAAGTGACATTAAGTTCTATTATGAAAATATCAGAAGACATTGCACTAAGAGGATGTATTGCCTTAACTGTTGTGATGGGTAGACAGAAGAATGTTTTACATTTGGGCTAAATGTCCAAGATAAATACATATAAATAAGATAAATAAGTATAAAGAAAAGAAAATTCAATGGAATCAGATCATGTAACACTTTCTAGACCCTAGTCAGAAGTTTTGTATCAATTTCTGAACATGTTACAAAGAAAAAATATCTTATGCAAGAGAATAATATCTAAATTATATTAAGAGAATTTTAGCCTGGTGTTATGTGTAAAATAGATAGGAGATGGTTGGGTGGAGGAGTGAGGAGAAAATCTAGTTAGGCACATGTCCTTGGCTATGACAAGTAATTAGCATGCAATATTAAATTGAGGTCACTCGTAATTTCTAATATATTCTATACACTAAAAACTCATAATTATAGTCATTTTATATAAAGTCCAAATACCTAAGGGTTTATACATTTAAGCATATTTCAATCAGGCTTACTGAAGCTAATCCTAAATCAAGTGTTGCTATCAGTTTATTGTTTTCAGGACTGCACTAATCTCTTTTTCTTTTCTTTTCTTTCTTTCTGGTTGACAGATTTCTGAGTAGGAAAAAATCAGGATACAAGCACTTAATTCTCAGCTCAACTACCATTTGTCAGGAGCCTTTAAGTATACCTTTGAGTCACTCTAGGTTATAGTCTCTTTATCCAAAAATGAGTGGGGTCAGCACAGGTTCATCTGGCTCTAAAATTATAACGCTGTTCTGATCTTAAAAGCAATTAGAACGTGGCCTCAATTAGCTCTATCATTTATTATTCAAAAGGGAAAATTAATTGACCATGAACTCAGGGATCAGATACTACCTATAGATTTGTGCTACTTTCAAATAGTACCTTCTTTTTATTTATTACTTTTATCATTCTCTAAAGCATTTAGTTTATTTGTATGTTTTCCTTCCAAATTAGAACATAAAATTTATGAGTAAAATCCTTGCCCATTTTCTAAACTACTGTATTCTCTGTCTCTAAGAGATTATTTAAAATACAGTACATGTATAATAAATATTTCTTGAATAGATGGGCAAATAAATGATTTGATATACTAATGGGACTTCCTGAGTACTAGGAAACCCAGTCATTCAACAAATTAACCATCTTTCATATTTTCATTGTTATATCCAATTACTTTTATAAATGTTAGAGTCATAAAATCCATTTTTAACTAAAAAATTGTGTAAAAACAAAATATGTAAAATACCAAAATTTGGCCCAGACTTTTGCCCAAGGGCTTTTTTTAAAAACTCCTTCCCAACCATGAAGGAATCGCCACTAACAATGTGAAAATTGCTAATACCCCTTGATTGCCAACATTTTACTAATTCCATAGAAGCTAGAGTTTCTTAAAACTCAGTTTCTTGTTAATTCACTCTATTTCCCACTACTTCATTCAATAATGAAACTTGCTCATCATATATAAAAAAAAAAGGAGCTTACATCACCTAATATTTGAATCCTTCTATTAGAAAATACTGCCTTTACTTGGTTAATATGTATATCAATAAGTGGCCTTATATCTTTATGGATCCCAGACAATCACCTGCTTCTCTTTTCTAGGACAAAATTTTAGCATGTGACTCCCTGTCCACCCTATCCAGGATGAAAATCTCTAGTTATTTTTGATTTAATACTTATTCACGATCCTCATGGTCTCCCATAGTTTCATAATCAAAAATTTTAATTTCTTGCTCAACCACAATTTCATAATGTACTATGTGAGAATTTGTACTCAGATTAAAATGCAATTATCCTGTCTTTCCATTCAGAGCAGACATGACAATCTTTTCTCTTTTATTGTTTGTAATAATTTTATTAATATTGTGTCAGTTTTATTAATCTGTTGACTTAGGGTATGTTTGTCAAACTAGGTTTTGCTATAAGCTTTTTTCATTCTCAACCCTCTGTTTTGGAATTCTTTCCTCTCTTGCATGAACTATATAGTGTCCAAGAAATTACCAATGGTCTGCGTTCTCTGACAGAACAACAGCTTTGTAATAAATTTTTATAGTCATCACTGTATATGAAAGGACATATATATGACATGAACTAAAATTCCAAAATTCTCAAAGAATTCCTAGAAGGAAGTATTTCTAGATTACAATGAGGTTGGATACACCCATCTTTCTCAGAATATATTCCAGAACCCCTGTTTACATAGAAGCTTTGAAGTTATCTTTATAACAGTATGAACTTTGCAGAGGTTAATATGGATTTGAAAGCTTGACTTTAAAAATGATTACTAGGGACTGGAGCAAAAGTACAGTGGGTAGGCATTTGCCTTGCACGTGGCCGACCAGGGTTCAATCCCATGTGGTCCCCCAAGCATCACCAGGAGTAATTCCTGAGTGCAGATCCAGGAGTAACCCCTGAGCACCGCCAGGTGTGTCCCAAAAAGCAAAAAAAAAATCTGAAAAAAATAAATAATTACTAAAATAGTTGAAGAGAGAGTGTAGAGTTGAAGGTGCCAGCCTTGCACATGTAGGTCCTGATTCAATCCCAGCACCACATATGGTTATGGTTCCCTGAGCAGCATCTGGAGTGATCCTTGAGCACAGAGCCAGGAGAAAGCCCTGAGCACAGCTGATGAGGCCAAAAACCAAACAAACAAAATTACTATGGATGTTAGTTAATAACATGTTAGTTTTATCTTATCCCTAGAGAAATGACTGTCTCACCAAATCTTCCTCTGTATCTTACTACAGATATGGGACAATTCAAAACTTATATGACAGATACCAAAAATCTGATTCATTTTGAAATCAGGAGGAGTTTACATTTAATAAGGTAATATATGTTCAGAAAGAAATTTATTGAAAAGAAAAGAACTAGTACTGAAGAGAGAATATAAGAGATAAGGACCTGCCTTGCAAGGAGCTGACCCCGGTTCTATCTCTGGCATCATATCTAATCCCATATTTTCATCAGGAGTGATTCCTAAGTATTAAGCCAGGCATAAACTCTGAGTGTCTCCTGCTCTTCTGACCTAAGCTTTCTGTACCCATCTGAGTATTTCTGTGGCTCAACACCCCCTTCCAGTATAAAGAAGAAGAGGAAGAGGAAGAGGAAGAGGAAGAGGAAGAGGAAGAGGAAGAGGAAGAGGAAGAGGAAGAGGCAGGAGAAGGAGAAGGAGGAGGAGGAGGAGGAGGAGGAGGAGGAGGAGGAGGAGGAGGAGAAGAAGAAGAAGAAGAAGGAGAAGAAGAAGAAGAAGAAGAAGAAGAAGAAGAAGAAGAAGAAGAAGAAGAAGAAGAAGAAGAAGAAGAAGAAGAAGAAGAAGAAGAAGAAGAAGAAGAAGAAGAAGAAGAACTAAGAAATGTAGGACATTAAAGGCTTTTGTGTTTAGTAAGATTTTAATTTTTGAAGAGGTAACATATTTTTCCATTGATTGTGTAAAGCTGATTTCATCATCCTTTGTCATAATTTGCTCCTGCTCTTCTGACCTAAGCTTTCTGTGCCCATCTGGCAAACTCTGACTCATAGTATCATAATGAGCTCAATCTCAGTGTAGTCTGTGAATAAATGGAAGGTATTCACCCTCTTGCCTAAGCTCCTACATACTCAATTCATATGCCTATTGTGTCATTTCTCCTGTTATACTTAGAATCTATAATTTCCTATATCTAGTCACTAAGTTGTGAAATTTGCAAAGGCAAAAACCAAATCCATCTCTTCTGTATTTTGCCAACTTCTCCAAATCCCAGTACTGTCAGCAATCATTGGTAAACAGAAATGTATTTGGGATAAAGGATGGAAATATATATTTTCATCTATATTTTTCAACATTTAGCTTATTTCAGAATTGTTTTATAATTTCAGTCTTCCTTCGGCATTTTTCTGAATCCCAAGAATTTCCAGGATTCTGTCTATGAGCTTTAATAAAACCATAGTTTTCTATTTATCTTTCTGTATGTGGTCACCTCCATGCTTATCAGGATTATGTTTTCTTTCCCCAGACACCCAAATTCCCAATATTAAAGCCCAGTTTTGAAAAGTCAGGAGCAAGTATTCACAGTCAATTT